CTTCCAGCTCATTTGCCTCAGTCACTTTATCTCGTTTCTGGACATGTGCAGATAATGGTCATCTGCTTCTGTTTTTTGGGCATCTTCAGGGGGTTATCTGTAGCCTTAATACTTAGATGGGTGTGTATTTTGGTGTTTTTTTTTTATGCTTTCTAAATGCCTCCAGGTAGATGTGATCAGGAAATGGGCTTCCCTTTTCACTCTTCTTCCTGAGAAGTTTCAAGCTATCACTGTTGGTCGTTTTGACGTAAGTTAGGATTTAATTTTCGGCCTAGTTCCTCTTTTGTCTGCTTGTCCCACTCCACAGTCCCCATTCAGTCCTTTTTTCTAGTTGAAACAGTTCAGGGCCGGCTGTGGCTGTTTGGTTTTAATTGGAAACTGTCTCTTTAAATTTCGAGGAGATCTGTGCGCATGCGAAGTAGAACCCTCCAAGGGTGGGACTGGGGTGCCCACTAGCTCAGGCACCCCTATAGTCACCCGAATGGAGGTGCGCAGACAGCAAGGGACCCCAATGGACAGATACCAAAAGAAAAGAATGTCCATACCTTTATCTCAGCGGTTCTGCCAGGCGTCTGTGGCTGTTCCGATCCTTCCCCCACATGGTCTCACCCAAGATGGCAGCTCCTGGAGCAGCCGCCGGACTAGAAAGCAATGGATTTCTAAGTATTCCTTTATATGTGGTTCAGAGCTCTGGGACCATCCCCTGAGCCTGCTTGGTCTGGTATTCTGTGTTGTTGTTCGTGGAGCTCCTTTACTGCACATCCACACGATCCACCATCTTGTTTGTTCCTTTTAATAAATAAATTTATTCTCTTAGAATTTAGGAGGTAGAAGTCTGAATTCAGAGCGTTTGCTCTGGAGAAAGGTCCTTGTCACCTTTCAGCATCTGTAGGCCCAGAATTCCTTGGAGATTTCCATGTGTCTTTGGCATCTGTCTTTCCCTGGATCTAGGAGCTTCACGGTGTAGGGACCCCAGGTCTAAAGGATGCACTCCACTTTTGGTCCTTCTTTCTTGGTACTAAGTACCTCTCATCTCTGCTCATTTCTGATACCACACTTTTTAAAATGTTAATGTTTTTATTAATAGACAATACATTCACTAGCTTCAAAATTTGAAAGGCTCAAAGTTTGAGTGTGTGTGTATATATATATATATATATATCCCATTAGGATGGACTTATAAAGACCCTTAGAACACAGTAGAACTGTCCCACAGGCTTTCAAGTCTGTGAACTTGGCAGAAGCACACTCCTCTTTCTTGTGAGGAGCCAGCTGGCTGATGGAGTCATACTGCCAACCTTTCAGTTAGTGGCCAAGTGCCAAGGCTCCTTTCCTTGAGCAGCTTTACTGAGATAAACGTCACATAACGTTGTTGTTAAGTGCAGTCAAGTCAGTGCCAACTCACAGCGACCCTGTACAGGATTTCCAAGGAGCAGCTTGAGCTACCTGTAGTTTGCAGTCCAGTGCTGATCCTACAGCACCATACCAGGAGTCCTTACATATCCGAGATTTCACCAATCCATTTGAGACAATTTTCACGGCCTCCAAAAGTAGTGCTACTTTCCTTGGCCAACATTGTCCCTCCCCCTCTTCCCGGCCCCTGGCAACCACTAATCTGCTTGCTTAATGGATTTATCGACTCTGGACATGGCATGTTTTTGGGCTCATGTACAGCAGTCTTGGTGTGGCATTGTGGGTTAATGCACCACACTGTAAAGTCGTTTGAACTACAAGGTCGGCTTGCAGCTCAGAAACCCTATACAGGGTCACTATGAGTCAGAACCGACTGGATGGTACTTAACACAGCAACAGCTGTGTCTCTAGGAGTCCTGGTGTGGTGCTGTGGGTTAATGCACTAGACTGCAAAGTTGGTTTGAACTGCAAGGTCAGTGGTTCAAGCTCACCAGTCACTCCTTGGAAACCTTCTACAGGATCGCTGTGAGCTGGAACCAACCCGGCAGCACATCACTACAAAAACTATGTCTCTGGACTGGCATCTTTCACCGACCATCTTAGAAGTCTGGACATGTGGCGGGTTTCCGTACCCAATGCCTTTTTGTGGCTCAGCCATTCTCCAGTATATGGATTTGGTGGTGGTGTTATGTGCCGTGGAGTTGGTTCCAACTCATTAGCAACCCTATACAGAGTTTCCAAGGCTGTAAATCTTTACGGGAGCAGAAGGCATCATCTTTCTCCCATGGAACAGCTGGTAGTTTGGAACTGCTGACCTTGAGGTTCGCAGCCCAATTCATAACCACTACGCTACCAGAGCTCCTTAGTATATGGATAGGTCACAGTTTATCCATTCATCAGTTGCTGGAATTTCGGTTGTTTTCCCCTTTTTTGCTATTGTAAACAATGCTGTGAATATCAGTGTACAGTTATTTACATGACATGCGTTTTCAGTTGTGATTCTGACTACAAAACCTAGCAGTGGAACTGCTGGGTCAGTTAAAAGTTATTTTTAACTTTCTGAGGAACTGCCTAGCTGTTTTTCCATAGTGACTGCACCATTTTACATTCCCAACAGCAGGATATGAAAGTTCTGATTTCTCCTTCTCCTTTTCTCCAACACTTGTTATTATTTCACCTTTTCATTCTAGTTGTCCTAGCTAGGGAGTATGAAGTATATCTCAGTGTGGCTTGGGCTTGGAGTGCCCTAACTGGAGATAATTGGCCTTCGTTTCATGTCCTTTCAGGGTCTCTGGGTAATCATTCGAGGGGTCCTCGAATGTGGTTAAGCGTTCAAACACACCAGCTGTACCACAGGAGAAAGATGTGATAGTGTGTGGCCATAAAGATTACAGCCTTGGCAATTGACTTTTCTGAGAGTCGGTGTGTGTAAGTCAGGCTTGGCTCAACTCAATGGCAAATGGTGATTGAGAGTCATGTGTGAATGCAGTGATGAGCAAGCAAATCAGAAGGGCTTGCTCTCTTGGTGTATGCAGGACCTCTGTCTGATTGCTAGTAATTCCTGTTGTTAAGTGTAGTCAAGTCGGTTCTAACTCATAGTGGCCTTGTATAGGACTTCCAAGGAGCTACTAGTGGGTTTTAACCACTGACCTTATAGTTAGCAAGCCAGTGCTTAATCTTACAGCACTAACCCAGGACAGTAGTTTAAGCTTTTGTTATTGTTGTTAAATGCCCTTGAGTTGATTCCAATACATAGTGACTCTGTGTAGGGTTTTGGAGGAGCAGCTGGTGAGTTTGAATCGCCAACCTTGTGGTCCAATACTTATCCTACAGCACTACACCAGGATTTCATTAATGCTTTTACAGGGGTGCTTATTCCGTTGTAGCTACCCTTTTGAAGTTCAACACTGAATACTCAAGCAGATCTTATGTGTGGGTGCCTGGGCTAGACCCTGGCTAAAGTAATTAACCAGTAACCATTTGCCATTGAGTTGATTCTGTTGGGAGCCCCACATGTATCCGCAAAACTGCTCCACAGTTTTCCATGGGGAGTGGTTTGGAAATAGTTCACCAGGCCTTGCTTCTGAAGTGCCTCTGGTGGACTCTAAGCTGAAGAGCATATCATAAGGGGCAGCTCTTAACCAGCATGTGAGTGAGTGACTCCATGTGTTGAGCCCCTCAGTGCAGATCCTGAGCTGTGGGTCTGGGTCTCCCTTCAGCAGTTGAGGTCTTTCCAAGCTGGGCTAGTTGTACTCTGCAGGCCCAACTCAGAGCCAGCGTCTACCTGCTGATCTGTGTCTCCCTCCTGTCCCCCCTGCAGCAGCCGCCATGGCCCAGACCCTGCAGATGGAGATCCCTAACTTTGGCAACAGCATCCTGGAGTGCCTCAATGAGCAGCGACTGCAGGGCCTGTACTGTGACGTGTCGGTCGTGGTCAAGGGCCACGCCTTCAAGGCTCACCGGGCTGTGCTGGCCGCCAGCAGCTCCTACTTCCGGGACCTGTTCAACAGCAGCCGGAGCGCTGTGGTGGAGCTGCCGGCAGCCGTGCAACCCCAGTCCTTCCAGCAGATCCTCAGCTTCTGCTACACAGGCCGACTCAGCATGAACGTGGGTGACCAGTTCCTGCTCATGTATACAGCCGGTTTCCTGCAGATCCAGGAGATCATGGAGAAGGGCACCGAGTTCTTCCTCAAGGTGAGCTCCCCCAGCTGTGACTCACAGGGCCTGCACTCGGAGGAGGCCCCCTCATCCGAGCCCCAGAGCCCTGTGGCGCAGACATCGAGCTGGCCAGCCTGCAGCACCCCACTGCCCCTTCTGTCTCGGGTGAAGACGGAGCAGCAGGAGTCGGACTCTGTGCAGTGCACACCTGTGGCCAAGCGGCTGTGGGACAGCAGCCAAAAGGAGGCTGGGGGTGGCAGCAGCAATGGCAGCCGCAAAATGGCCAAGTTCTCCACACCAGACTTGGCCGCCAACCGACCACCGCAGGCCCCGGTGGTGGCAGCAGCCCAGCCGACTGGGGTGGCAGTGGCAGCGGGCACCGGGCAGCCGGCTGGGGGAGCGGCTGCAGCTGGAGGCGTGGTGAGCGGGCCCAGTACATCGGAGCGGACCAGCCCCGGCACCTCTAGCGCCTACACAAGTGACAGCCCTGGTTCCTATCACAACGAGGAGGACGAGGAGGAAGACGGGGGTGAGGAGAGCATGGATGAGCAGTACCGGCAGATCTGTAACATGTACACCATGTACAGCATGATGAACGTCGGACCTACAGGTGAGCTGCCGCTGGCCTGGCCCAGCCTCATTCCCCACACTCCTCAGGCCTGAAACCCACACCACCTGTTTCTCCTCAGCCGAGAAGGTGGAGGCTCTCCCAGAGCAGGTGGCCCCTGAGTCCCGCAATCGAATCCGGGTGCGGCAAGACCTGGCGTCCCTCCCCGCTGAGCTCATCAACCAGATTGGCAACCGCTGCCACCCCAAGCTATACGACGAGGGCGAACCCTCTGAGAAGCTGGAGCTGGTGACAGGTGAGCCCGCTACACTATATCCCTCCTACCCCAGGACCTTGGTCTCCCTCTGAGCTGAGTGGCATGTGGGTGGTAGTCAGGAGCCTGACTGGGACAGGCTGCCTGGCCTCAGGTCCTGCGGCACACTGGTTGAGAGATGGGACAGCCAGCACCTCTGGGCATCTTGTTTTCCTCACCTGATAAGAGGCACACCCTGGCAGGCTTGTGAGAAGAGAAAGTGAGTCGGTGCATGTAAAACATGGGGTGGGGAATCCCCTGTAAGTGGGGCTCTTCTAGTGGAGCCACTTGGGAAGGCTTTGGGGACTTGGGCACTGGGGTTGAGAATTGACCTTTGTTGTCAGCTAGCCCAGTTGTTGGGTGCTGCTCCCTACTGAGCCCACTCTGTGCCTTAACTGCCTCCCCTTCCTGGGGCTAAGCAGGGCATATGAGGCTGTACAGGTGACATCCGACAAGCTGGTGCGTGATGAGTACTTCTAGATGGTGATGCCACCGTGCTCTCAGGAGTGCTGCAGGAAGTCCAAATGAGGCTGCTCTGCCTGCCTTCCCAAAGTTCATGCCCACCCTGTGGGAGTAGATGATGGGAGACAAGGTGTGGGCTCACTGGGCTAGTCACGGCTTTCTCCTCCAGGCACCAACGTGTACATCACCAGGGCACAGCTCATGAACTGCCATGTCAGTGCGGGCACGCGGCACAAGGTCCTGCTGCGGCGGCTCCTGGCCTCCTTCTTTGACCGGTGAGGTCCTTCAGAGCGCAGGATGAGGGAGTGGGATTGACTGTGACTCCTCATGATGACCCCACCTCCACAGGGAGCACTAACCTGCCCCGTGTCCCCTGTCCCCAGGAACACACTGGCCAATAGCTGTGGCACTGGGATCCGCTCTTCCACCAACAACCCCAGCCGCAAGCCCTTGGACAGCCGCGTCCTCCACGCTGTCAAGTGTGAGTTGGCCACTCGAGGGGTGCTGGGGGCAGACGTCTTCTTCCCTGATGTGGCTCTGACTGATGAGTGGGGGCTTTCTGGAGTTGGGTGTTGAGAAGGAGTTGAGGCCAAACCTAGGCTTGTTGGGAAGAGGGCTGTGGCTCAGAGATTTCTGTAGAGCTTCTAAGGGAAGCTGGGAGGAGGCTCAAACTCAGGAAGCAGCCTGGCACATAAAATGGCAGCCAGCCACCATACACATGAACCGGTTACTGGTATAAAAGGACACTGAGCTCGCCTGTATGCCATACTCAGGCCTGAGGTGGTATCGAGTGCCTGTCCACCGTCACAGGAGGGAGCCAGGGCCCGAGCTGAGCCCCACCTCCACCCCCTGCTCTGTCCACACAGACTACTGCCAGAACTTTGCCCCCAACTTCAAGGAGAGTGAGATGAACGCCATTGCAGCCGACATGTGTACTAACGCCCGCCGTGTCGTGCGCAAGAGCTGGATGCCCAAGCTCAAGCTGCTCAACGCCGAGGGCGATGCCTACACAACCTTCATCAGTGACACGGGCAAGATAGAGCCAGACATGATGGGCGTGGAGCATGGCTTTGACACAGCCAGCCATGACGGCGATGCCGGCCCCTCGACTGAGGCCCTGCAGTAACCCCACCGGACCCTCCCCATGGAGCCGTCACACTCCCCTTCCCACCATCCTGGTCACGAGCTACTGTCGGCCCCTCCCCAGGACCCACGGGTGCTGCATGCTCCCAGCCCCTCTGCCTCCCTTCCCACCCCGTCCTCCTGACCCTTAAACCCAGCGTCTCTCACTGAGCCGGGCTGGGGGAAAATGGCAGGTGGTGTGCGGTTTGCGTTGCCTTTTTCTAACACACTCGTGCACGGTTGGGGAGCATTAGCTCCCCTTCTCCTAACCCCTAGAAATTGTCCCCCAACTCACCAGGCCAGGCACGGGATAAGGCCAGCCTGAGGGGCTCGGGAAGGCTTCTCTCTCCCAGACCCTGGGCCCCTGGCAGCCTCTGTCCTTCACTACGGCCCTTTTGGACTCAAAGGGCCCTGGGTTCTCAGGACCCCTCTCGTCACCTCCTCCCAGTGCTTCCATATTTCCAAAAGCGCCTTCCTGTTCCCCTCGTCTGTCCCTGTGCCTGGGGGCTAGGGTAGGCGAGGCCTTGGGGAATGTCCATTTTCTAGCTGAGGAAACTGAGGCTCAGAGAAATTCCATAACTGGCCTAAGGTGGCAAGCAGTGGTGGGCCCAAAGCCCCTCATTTCTCACTCAGCCTCTGTGCTGCCACCCCCTCCCCCATTGGCCCCAAGGGGCCTGAGAGAGGCAGGTCCTAAGTGAGGGGATTCATGGGTGCATATAGGGGGTTTTGGAGGATAGGATGTGAGGTTTCCAGGGCTCAGAGAGATTGTGTGTATGTGTGTGTGTGTGTGTGTGTGTGTGTGTAGAAGTTTTGCTTTTGAAAAATAAGAAGCTATAAGAAACAGTAGGACCAGGGTTGAACCCAGGGGAGCAGGGCTGGAGGGCCACTGCCCCTCCTTCCATTCCCCGTTCCATCTGCCCCACAGCCAGGCTCCTACTTTCCTTCCCTTGTACATACTTTTTAAAACATTTTCTTAGCTAATGAAATACTGAAGTATAAGATTCCTTTTATTTTTCAAACCAATGGGACTCTGTCTGATGTTCCCCCTTTGATCCCTGGGGACAGTGGCAGGCAGAATAGGGGCTAGTGGCAGATGCGCCTGTGAGTGTGTGAGAGAGAAAGCATGAGAACGTGAAGTGTGCATCACTTTCTGTGGTGGGCCCCAGCGCAGCGCTGCCTGAACTCCTGTGGGTCTGACTGGCTCCCCTCTCACCCCCATGCTTTCCCCACCACAGGGCTATAGTTAAAGGTGACCCTGGCTGTGGCTGGTTGGCTGAACCCCACCCTGGGGACCATTCGTTGGCAGTTGTCCCAAGAATCTCTTACCATTCCTTTTCTCGCCAAGAGCGAGGGTGTACTGAGTGTTACGTGTGAACATGGAGGGTTCTGTTTTTGACTCCCCATTCCCCTGCATTTGGGTCATTTCACAATTCCACTTCTGTGTCTCCACTTCACCACCTCTCCCCCTCCCTTCTCCCAGCTCTTACCTGCCCATTGCTCCTGTGGTCCGTCATCCAGGGGCCAGGGGGTTGGCAGAAGGTGGGGTGGGGCCGGCCCCACATGAAGGACCCCTTGGGTCTGATCTGGAGGCAGGCCTCCCCTGGACCCAGCAGCCCCCGCTAGCCTGCAGTGTGCCACTTGTAACATCCGCTTGTTGCGTGGGAGGGGGTGTCGGTCAGTGAGGGGTTGGGGCCTGCTGGGGTCCTGCCTTGTTTTCCTGGCCCCTGGCTGGCTGGCCTCTTAGTGTGTGTGGAGGGGAAGCGGCACCCCCAGCTAAAGCACAAGCACCTTAATCACACCTCCCCACCCATAGGTCCTGGCCCTGACACCCCACCCAGCATTGATCCCAAAGCACAATATCCTGGTCACTTGGCAGTAGCAGTGCCCAGGCTGGCCCAGGCTAAGGGGGCACAGGTGGGCTTTGGGGCTCCAGCCAAACCCCAGAAGGAGGCAGGAGTTCTCAGGCATTCCTCCCCTTCCAGGCCTTAGTTGGGGGCCAGCTCCTGGGACTGGGGTATTTTCCCTTCCCACCCCCTTGCCCTGGGCAGACCCCTGCCTCGTCCTTCCTGCCTTTTCCTCCTGTGGGGCTCGCCCCTGTAACTGAACTTCTCCGAGACCCTGCAGCATGGGGTGGGCAGCCATCCCCTGGGTCCCCAGGACTGTTGCTTTGAGGAAGTATTGGGGAGAGGGGCCAGGCAGGGGTGCAGGGGAGGAAACTCCTCACCAGGAGAGCCAAAGACAGGGTTGTGCCTTACCCCAGGAGCCACCCCTGCGCCCATCCCAGTTCCCTGCCCCCTCCTCCCTCTGGGTGGCCTGCTGCTTCCCTTTCCCTCCTCCCTGGCCCTACTCTGAGCTGCATGACCCCCACCCTGGGCAGCAGGGAGGAGCATGGATGGAGAATCACTGACCAAGGAGAAAAGACTGTTGGGGGGGCCCCCTCTGCTTCCCTGGCCGCCCAAGCCTCATTCACGCTGGACAGACCGCCTGTCCTGTCTGCGTGAAGTGCCAATGCCCTCCCCACCCCTGGGCCGAGCCCCACCACCCTCCCCACCCCTAAGTGAGATTGCACATTAACTACTGTAAGGAGAGGGGTGGCACTGGGAAATGTGAACCATGAGAAATATCAGTGATACTGATGAGAATAAACTCAACGCCTTTGTAACAGCCCTGCTGATGCTGCTCACTGGGGGTCTGGCATGCTGGGCAGGGAGGGGACATGCACACTGGGGACTGCCACTCCATAGACCGCAACTTAAGGGGTTTCATACCAAGCAGTGAGAATGGCCCAAGGGGGGCCCAGGGGTATTCCAGGCACACATCTGCAACAACCCTGAGTTTGCAGAGCCAGAAGACCCTCCTTGAGATGGTGAAATCAGGTTGATGCCTGGAGCTGGCAGAGGCTTTAGTGTTCTATTCAAACACCCATCCAGCTAGCCCAGTATATGAAGACACTGCTGCCCAAATCTAGAAGCACCATCAAGTATGGGAACCCCAACACTCATATGCGACCACAAGTCAATATTCCATTGGTGTCAAGGTTCTGAGGACATGAATGAAAGGGTTCTGTCAAAACCTGTACCTTAGGATGCTGGCCATTCAAAGATGTTTAAATGGGAATGGTATTTATCTTTTCACCATCAAGTTAAAAGATCTTCGCTGCAGACATCCAAGGAGAAGGTAATCAAGTACTTCAAAGAGTGAACTGGGGTCTGTGTCTTGTGCTGCTATGACAAATAACCAGGTCGAATGGCTTTGACAAATTTGATTTTCTCACAGTTTAGGAATCAAAGTTTGAATTTGGAGTCCTGGTGTGGCTCCTTAGGATAAGCACTCAGCCTCAAGGTCAGTTTGAGCCATAAGGTTGGTGGTTCAAACTCACCAGCCACTCCTTGGAAACCCTATACAGGACCCTATGAGTTGGAACCAACTCCTCAGCACTTAACAAGTCAATTCAGGATGCCCGCTAGCTCTAGAGGACAAGTTTTTCTGTCAGTTCTCAGGAAGGTCCTTGTCTCTTCAGCTCTTCTGTTACTTGGTGATGTTGTGAAGTGCCATAAAATCGGTTCTGAATCATAGTGACCCTGTACAGGGTTTCTGCTACCACTGGTCTGTCAGTTGGTCATACTCTGGTGGCTTGCATGTTACTGTGACGTTGGAAGCTACACCACCAGTGTTTGAAATACACCAGCAGAGTACGCCCATGGTGGAATGTTTAGCCACTGAAAACCTTATGCACAGCAGTGGAACACTGTCAGATAGCACCAGAAGATTGAATGTTGAAACATGATGAAAAGCACCAAAACACTATCACATATACTGGCGGAAGATGAACCCCTCAGGATGGAAGGCACTCAGATTTTACTGAGGAAGAACTGCCTACTCAAAGTGGAGTTGACCTTGATGACACAAATGGAGTAAAGATTCCAGGACCTTCATTTGCTGATGGAGCACAACTCAAAATGAGAAATAGCTGCAAATATCCATTAATAATTGTTATAGGAATGTACAAGGTATGAATCTAGGAAAATTGGAAGTTGTCAAAAAGGAAATGGAACCCATAAAGATCGATATCCTAGGTTGAAATGGACTGGCATACGCCTAGATGACAAATTAAAAAGAAATGGCGTTGCATTCATAAAAAAAACTTTCAAGATCTATCTTGAAGTATAATGCTGTAATAGGATAATATCTATGCACCTACAGGGAAGACCAGTTAATACCACTATTGACTCAAATTTACGTGTACCAACAACTAAAGCCAGAGGTGATAAAACTGAAGAATTCTAATAACTTCTTCAGTCTAAAATTCATCAAACAAGCAATCAAGATGCATTGATAATTACTGGCCATTGGAATGCAAAGGCTAGAAACCAAGAGGAAGGGTCAGTAGTTGGAAATTATGGCCTTGGTAATAGAAACAATGCTAGAGATCGCATGATAGAATTTGCAAGACCAATGACTTCATTACAAATACCTTTTTTAAACAACATAAAAGCTGACTATACACATGGACCTCATTAAATGAAATACACATAAATCATATTGACTACATCTGTAGAAAGAGTGGAAAAGGTCCATATCATCAGTTAAAACAAGGCCAAGGACACAAGGTCGGGCTGAAAATTAAGCAAATCCATGAGAGCCAAAATATGACCTTGAACAAGTTGTTAAAGTGCCATCTAGTTAGTTCCAACTCATAGAGACCCTGATGAGGGTTTGTGAGGCATGGCTGGTGAGTTTTGAACTGACGACCAACCTTGTAGTTCAAATGATCTTGTGATCCAATGCATATTCTACAGCGGCATACCAGGACCTTGAACATATCCCAACTGAATTCAGAGATCATCTCAAAAACAGATTTAATTAGACACTAATGACTGAAGACAAGAATTGTGGGAATGACATAGAGACCAACATACAAGAAGAAAGCAAAAGGTCATTAAGAAAACAAGAAGGAAAAGACCAAAATGGATGTCAGAAGAGCCTCTGAAACATTTTCTCAAGCATAGAGATGCTAAAGCAAATGGACAAAATAAGAAAAGAAAACAGAAAATTTCAAAGGGCAGCTTGAGAAAACAAAGTCAAGTATTATAATGAAACAAAAAGAACATGCTCAGCATTTCTCAAGCTGAAAGAACTGAAGACAAGAATCATGCTTTCACTTAAAATATTGAAGAATTCTATGAGCAAAATATTGGATGATGCAGAAAGCATCAAAGAAGATCGACTACACAGTTACTGTACCAAAAGGAAATGCTTGATAATCAGCCATTTCAAGAGTTAGCATATGATCAAGAGACAATGGTAATAAAGGAAGAATTCCAAGGTGCACTGAAGACATTGGCAAAGACCAAGGCTCCGGGAATTGATGGAATACAAATTGAAAAATTTCAACAAACTGATGGCATCTCTGCAGGCACTCACTCATTCATGCCAAGAAATTTGGAATACAGCTACCTAGCCAACAGATGGGAAGAGATCAATTTTTGTAGCCATTCCAAGGAGAGGTGACCCAATGGAATGCAAAAATCATCAAATAATATCATTAATATCACATGCAAGTAAAATTTCGTTGAAGATAATTCAAAAACGGCTGCAACAGAACATTGACAGGAAACAGCCAGGGGTTCAAGCCGGATTCAGATGAAGACGTGGAATGAGGGATATCATTGCTGACATCAGATGGATCTTGGCTGAAAGCAGAGAATACCAAAAAGACGTACACTTGTTCTTTATTGACTATGCAAAGACTTTCAACTGTGTGGATCATGACAAGGTATGGACAATATTGCAGAGAATGAGTGTTCTGGAACACTTAATTGTGCTTATGAGGAACCTGTACAACGACTAAGAGGCAGTTGTTTGAATAGAACAAGGGGACGTTGAATGGTTTAAAATCAGGAAAGGTATGTGCCAGGAAGGCATTGTTTCACCATACTTATTTAGTCTGTATGCTGAATACATAATCCAAGAAACTGGATTATATGAAGAAGAACATGGCATCAAGATTGGAAGAAGACTCATTAACAACCTGCAATATGAAATGAGACAACCTTGCTTGCTGAAAGCGAAAACTTAAAATACTTACTGATGAAGATTACAACCAGAACATTCAGTACAGGTTGCACCTCAATGTATAGAAAACACAATTCCTCACTACTGGACCAATAAATAGCATTATGATGAGTGGAAAAAAGACTGAAGTTGTCAAAGACTTAATTTTGCTTGGATCCACTATCAACACTCATGGAAGCAGCAGTCATGCAATCAAACAATGTAGTGCACTAGGCAGATCTGCTGCACAAGATCCCTTTGAAGTACCGAAGAGCAAAGATGTTAGCTTGAGAACTAAGGTGCATCTGACCCAAGCCATAATATTTTCAACAGCTTCATATGCATGTGAAAGTTGGACAATGAATAAAGAGGACTGTAGAAAAATTGAGGCATTTGAGTTACGGTGTTAGAGAAGAATATTAATAAGTACCATGGATTGCCAGACAAAACAACAAATCTGTGCTAAAAGTGCAGCCAGAATGCTCCTTAGAAGCCAGGATGGCTTGGCTTTGTCTCTCATACTTCGGATGTATTATCAGAAGGGACCAGTGACTTGAGAAGGATGTCATGTTTGGTCAGTATAAAGAGGAAGATTCCCAAGGAGCTGGACTGACAGTGGCAATCAGTATGGGCTCAAGCTGAATGGTTATGAAGATGGTGCAGGGTCGGGTAGTTGTGTCCTGTTGTGCATAAGCTCACTATGAGTCATAACTTCAGGGCACCTCACAACAACCACAGGAGCGCTGGTAGCATAGTGGTTACGAATCGGGCTGTGAACCTTAGGGTCAGCAATTCGAAACTACCAGCTGCTCTGCAGGAGAAAGGTGAGGCTTTCTGCTCCCGTAAATATTTACAGCCTCGGAAACCCTGTACAGGGTCGCTATGGGTTGGAGCCGAACCAACTTGACGGCACTTAACAACAACAACCACAAGAGAAACGAAACCATAGTAGTCATGTTTTTGTGTAAATATCTTAAGAAAGTTGGACAATTTCACCTAAAAGAATGACAACTTTGTAACACTTGACACTTTACAATGTGTGGTTGAGCAGTTGAGATTGTTTTGATATCTTACTAGATAATGCACAGGATGAAAACATCTAAGATAACAGCTTAAGGTCACCGTACAACTTTATATTTAGAAGACTCTCCAGCAGACAGAAGTGGCCTATGAGTAATGTACTGGAAAGGAGTTGAAGTCCCTATGTTTGCAGTGGGACCCGGTATTACTCCAAGGCCCCTATGAAATGATCGCTAAACACATCTAAGGGATTTATCTATAGGTTGACCTTCAGAAGCTCAAGGAACAATTGGAGTTTGGAATTTCCTATGGTAATAAATTACCCATGATTAAAACCAAGAAATAAGCTCCAGATGAGTCTTTTCTGCACCAAAATTACCACCAAAATCCCTCACACACACACGCAGACACACATACCCACTCACACCTGGGTCGGTCCTTTAGGAAGGCCATCTTGTCCTGATGTACTGCTGTAGGATAAGCACTAGACTGCAGGACAGTTTGAACCACAACATCAGTGGATCAAATTCACCAGCTGTTCCTCAGAAACCCTATACAGGGCCGCTAGGAGTCAGAACTGACTCAACAGCACTTAACATCTTGTTCAGAGATCAGTCTCGAGTTTAGAATCAACATTTCATAGATTACAAATAGGTATAAAAAGACTGGGATTTTATTTCCAGGTTGGCACATGTACAAGGCACACAGAGAATGGCTTTGGGACACTGGAAATAGCATTGGGGAGGGGATAGCTGAAGTCTCCCAAGCTCCCTCCCCACCTAAGCACACTTGGGATAAGACAGGTAGCAGGGAACCCCACCCAGGGCCCAGAGGGGCCCACTGACTTTGAATGACAGCTTCAGGGGCCACTCCCCAGGTGCAGCCCACTCCCCAGGGGCAGGGCCCCACCCAGCTCTAAAGTGCTTGAGAGTTGCCCAACCCCAACAAGTGGGATCTGGTCCCTGGGGAGGACCAGGGTCAGAGAGAGAAGAACAGGATGAGGACCAGGAGAAGCACCACCAGCAATACCATGATGGCGCACCACTGCCGGCGATCTGGGGACAAGAGGATTAGTGGTCATGGGGACAGGGGACCACCCAGGGCCCACCCCCTTCAGGGGACTCACCACTTGTCATGTGGGATACTTTGGCCATCTTTCTGAGGACCCCGTCCATCCGGGTCTGGGTCTGGTTCATCTCCTGAGCAAAAGCATCCAGCATGCTGCCAAGACCAGGCCTATGTCAGTCCCCAAAGGGCCTGGGTACACCAGCACAGTGGACGTAAGGCTCCCAGCCCACTCACCCCCGTGGTCCTGGCCTCACATGCCCTGCTCATCCAGCTCCTCCCCAACGCGGCCAGACATGTGTTTTAGAACTCGGATGCTCCCAGACACTATTTCAAGCTGATGATCCTGTTGGTCCATGATCAGCTGCAGGGCAGAGGGATGGGAACTGCTGAAGCAGGCCAGGGACCCCTGAGTTGTCTGCAGTCTTTCCCATCTTGGGGTCCCCTGGACGTCCCTACAAACCTGCTGTGTGGCTTGCTGTTCCTCAATGTAGCGAGAAGAGGCTGAGACCACACTGGCATCCAGCAGGTCGCTGGGTGACTTCAGGGTGGCTGACTTGCTCGTCAGCATCTGTGGGGTCCAGACCATAGGCTCAAGGGAGGATGTCCACATACAGAGACAGATGGAGGATATAGCCCATCTAACCAATCTCTGAGCCTGGATGGCCTTGGCTGCAATCCCAATCCCAGCACTCCAATCCCACAAGGTGCCCTTGCCCATGTCACTTGACCTCCTTGTGCTTCAGTTTCCATGTCTATAAAACAGAGAACTATAGTCCCTGCTTCCTATGATTGGATTAAGATTTCATGATTCAATCCAGGGGAAGTTGTTACTGTTCCACACTGTAAATGCTCAATAAAGGTAACTTAGTAGTATGTCATATAAATATTAACCCATGGAGGCAGATGGCAACAGACAGTCCTGGTTTAAGTCTGGTTTTCACCACTTACTGAATGTATGACCCCAGTCAAGTAGCTCCTGCTTTCTCTCCCTCAGTCCCTGCCTCTTCCAGCTGGGTGCAGATGAGGTATCTGCAAAGCACTTAGCATGGGATTGCACAGCCTTAGTGTTCGGCAAAAGGCACGCTTCCTATTATTATGTGATCAATGTATTTTTAAGTTGAGACTTTAATATACAAGTCAGTCCATCTAGAAAGCCCAGGAGCACTGCTACAGGATGCCAAGCTGTTGAGGGTGTCAGCCCCTCACCCTCCCAATGTTATGTGGGCTTATGATGGGATGGGGAAAGGCTAATACTTTACAACATGCAACAAACAGACTTTCAATACAGAAAGAAAGGTGTCCAAACAGAGATGGCAGGGAGAACACATACAGAAGGCATAATCAGCATACAGAGGGAACAGGTGGGTACATTCTCAGTGGCCTAGTTTGTACCCTGGAAACATACATAGAGAACAAGTGGATTTGTAAGTAGGTAGAAAGGACAGACATACACATACACAGGAGACAGGTGTACAGACACCCATTCACACACAGGAATCAGCACAGACTCAGGAGAAGGCAGGGAGTTACACTGAAACAACAATGTAGACACAGGTGGGCTCAAGTGCACACAGAAAAAGAGGAGGAAGGTACTCAGTCAGGAGACAACCACAGACAGAGGATGGGCATGGATACAGGGTGGGCGCACACACCAGAGCAGCTGAAGACGCAGAGTCAGGATCCCTTACCTCTCTATTTTTCCTTTCCATGAAAGCTACAGCAGCTGGGCTGACCAAATGGTCCCTCATTTCCTGGGGGTGAGGGTAGAGAGCTCAGAGACTAAAGATTCCCCAGCCTCCCTATGCTCACAGTTACGAGTCGGGCTGCTAACCTCAAGGTCGGCAATTCAAAACTACCAGCCGTTCCACCGGAGAAAGATGAGGCTTTCTGCTCCCATACAGATTTACAGCCTCAGAAACCCTATACAGGGTCGCTATGAGTTGGAACCGACTCCACCGCACACTACCACCATCACCACTACCCCATTCATGCTAACCACACAGGAGACTGCTCCTCCTCACCTGGACCGCCTCCCGCATCCGCTCCACAAACACCTTTCTCTCCTCCAGGTCCCCAGCTGGCAGCTTGAACTTGCTGGGGTTGGCCTCCACAATAGGTGGGCAGCTAGTCAAGGGTCAAGGCCAGAGTCACACACCCTTTCTTACCCCCAGCCCTTAACACTTTCTGGTTGCCAGGTTCTCGGAGGGCTGGCTCCCAAAGCCACCTCCCCACCCCGCCAGGATATCGATGGTCTCCTCCAGGTCTTCCAAGTCCCACTCGATGCTGCGCAGGCCATTACGCAGTTCATTGGTCGTCCAGTCTAGCTCCTCGCGACCGACAGCCGCACCTTCTTGCAGGAGCTCGCACCAACGCTGGTACAGACCCCGGGCCGAGTTCACTGCCTTCTGCACTTCACTGCGGGCAAAGGCACAACGGGTGCCGCTGCGGGCAGATGGCCCCTCCGCCTGCCCCTGCAGCACCCCCTCATTTGTGGGCTCTGACACCCTCACATCCCCCACTGAATCCCTCCCATTCGGTCGCGAGACGATCCCGACCCTGCTCCTCGACGGCCTCACCCGGACCGCCTGGCACGCTGGTGCCCGGACATTGGCTAGCAGGGGAACCGAGCACCCTCCGCCCTCCCTCGTCGCTGTCACTCACCCTCGGACTACAAAAAACGGGTCTTCGAAAGACATGTCACCCACAACCTTCCAAGCCGAGCCCCCTCCCCTTTAGCTCTTAGTTTGCTCCCTCCCTCCCAGCGGAGGAAAACGCACCACCCACCTCGTCTCGATCACGTGATCGAAGTCACCATCGAGAGGAGGGCTGCCAAATAAGAAAGAAAGGCCTTGGAAGTCCGAAGTACTGGAACTTCCGCCCTCTCTGAGGCCACTCTGGCCGTCATCTTAGTTGTGGGCAGAAGTAACTTCCTGTCCACATGCCCGCCTCCTCGCCTCTGCTTTCTTTTCTAGTTCTGGTCAGTGGCGCTGTGCACCGTTTCCCTTCAGAGCAATGTAAATAGTCGTTGTTGTTAAGAGCCGTCCAGTTGGTTCCGACTCATAGCGACCCAGTATAGTGTTTCCGAGGAGCAGGTGATGGATTTGAACCGTCAACCTTGCGGTTAGCAGTCCATTGCTATCCTTCATGTTACACCAAGACTCCTTAACTCAGAGGTTCATTCCATTCGTAGGTCATGTTAACGGACTCGCCGTACTTGAACCCAGCTGGTCCTCGGAGAAAAGGGAGTCCCGGATCCTGTCTAGGGTGGTCGTCCTAACCCAGGGTCCCAGTGGCAGGGTGGAATGGATAAGTGAAGAGATGAACTTCCCCTTGTCCTGCCGCGTGGGGAACGGAGTTCTGCGAGGATTTCCGTTTCTTTTTTTTTTCCTGCGAGAGAGGAGGGGTGGGTATGGCCGTGAGTGGGGGTCCGCGAAGATGTTCCAAGAACAAGCGTGTAGGAATGGGAGGGGGGGTGTCTTAGTGTTTCTGGGTGAGAGCCTGGGGGTCGTGGTGGCTCTGAGGGAGGAGTCTGCCGCGTGGGTACCCCTCTGGGGAGGGGCAGGAAATGTCTGAGATCCCTCTGGGGAGGGGCAGGAAATGTCTGAGGAGGGACTCAAGAGGGTCGTGCTCGGTCTGTGTGGAGTCCCTCGTAATGTTCTTTTCCGGGAATGCTCAAGCCATCGCCTGGGGTTCTAGTTGTGTGATCTCCGTTTCTACAGGGTGGGCGGGCTATCTAAGGGATAACTCAGTCGTTGCTTCGGGGCTCCGAGATAGGGCTCAGCTGGGGTTGTCATTGTGGGATCGCCTAGTGAGGGGGAGCGAGAATGGGGCCGTCTTCTGCAAGTTGCCGCAGTGTGTTAGAATCGCTGAATGGAGCCAGCTTTTGGAGAAGTGTTTTAGAGACAGTTGAGTCCCCACGTGGGGGCATGAGACAGGAGAGCGAAGGTACTGGAAAGAAGCCTTGGAGAGTTGGTTTTTGAGACAGTAATAACCTGAAAGGGGGCCATGTAAAGAAAGTAACTGTGGAATCTCCGGGAGAAGAGACCGCTGGAAATGGCGTCAGTGGGAGACCTGATGTTGCCTTTCTCCGTTGACGGGGCGCTTTCCCGAAAAGGCGCCAGCCAAGCCTTCCTGAACTCCGGAGGGAAGGAAGCGAAACCGGCCCTATCCGGATAACAGATCCAAAGCCAACTCCAGGCCACCTCGCTGCGGGGGTAAAACGGGGAGGAGGGGCAAATCTGGAGGCTAAGGTTCCACCCCCCCGTCTGTCCGGAAGAAGCTCGCTAAGGCGATCCCGTCCCCTATCCTAATATGGGCAGCCGGAAGTGGCCAGAGCGCACGTTACGTCACTACTTCCAAATATAGTAGTGGAAGTCGGCGAGCTCCTGTGGCGGGAAGGCGCTGTTAGCAAGACTGGAGGGGCGGGGCCTTCTCTTAAAGGGGCCGCACCAGTTACTCGGACAATTTTGTGTTCTTTTTGTAAGGAATTGGAATTAGATTTTATTTACTTTCTTCTCCTTTTTTTCTTCAGGAAGTAGGTTTTCATGGGGAGTTGGCGCATAGCGCAGGGTGGGAGTTGATGTTATTTATCTGCTCGTTTCTGAGCCGCGAGTCCCTCCCCCTCCCTCCGCCTCTCGAGGGGCGGAGGCCACGTGCTTACGGGGCTCAGCCACCTGCAAGGCCGCCTTTGGGACTCTTGTTGTGGGGAGGTTGAAGTGGCGGTGGCGGTGGTGGTGGTGGGGGGGGGGTTCCATGCTGAGAGCGTGAGTACCTGGCAGTTTGAACCGTGCCCTGGATTCTGGAGAGATCCGCTGCCCGCAGGATGTGCAACTTCATTCTGGAGCCGAGTCTGTATCGCCTTCTCGCCTACAGACGAGGAGTGAGGAGGGCTGGCAGATGATGGGGAACCCCGTAGCCCCCATTCACGACAGCGGCCCATTTATTAGCAAGTAGTCTCTGCCTGTTTTTCCACCGGAAGAAAGCAGGTACCACGAACGCTACACTTACGGGGATGGAAGTGAGAGATCAATGAGACTGTAGTGAAAGGAACAAGACTCGTAGTAAGCATTTAACAACTGCTAGTATCGTTATTGGACTCCATCCCAGCGAGACGGACTGGCAAAGTGGGCTCAAGCGTGGCAACATTAGTGAGGTTGGCCCAGGGTCGGGCAGTGTTTCGTTCTGCTGTGCATAGTGACGCTATGAGTCGGTATCGACTCGATGGCACCTAACAAGAAGCTTGGCGTTGTAGGATCAGCACTGGACTGCGAAACACAAGGTAGGCAGTTCAAACTCACCAGCTGCTCCTTGGAAACCCTATATAGGGTCGCTGAGTCGGAACCGACTCCATGTCACTTAATAACAACAAAGTATCGTTATTGAATCAAATGCAAAGGGAAACAACGCCTACAAACTGTTTGGAATCTGAGCCCCAGACTCTGCCATCCCTTCCCTGGGCCTGCGCGTGACTGCATCGGTAGGGTCCTGAGAAAGGGGGAGCCACCTCACGAGTTAAGCGTAGTAGAGGGGCGCTGTTCTCGTCTCAGACCCCGTCTCTGTTCCTCGCGGATAAAAATCCTATCCTGTCACTTTAAGGAGTCTCTCTCGCCGATGCGCTACGGAAAGCCCGGATGCGGCCCTCTAATTGGGCGGGGCGTCTACGTGACGTCACTGAGGGTATAAAATGGTCCGGGTGGCGGGCACCCTGGCAGAGCGTCCTAGCGGTGACACAGCATAGGTTAGTGTACGGCGTTAAGGAAAAGGCGTGAACTAGCGCACTGACCAGACTGCGTTACCTGTCCAGTCCGAGACTCCCGTCGTCGAGCCACAATGGAAGTGCAAAAGGAAGCGCAACGCATCATGACCCTGTCGGTGTGGAAGATGTACCACTCGCGTATGCAGCGCGGTGGACTGCGGCTTCACCGTAGTCTGCAGCTGTCGCTGGTCATGCGCAGCGCCCGGGAGCTCTATCTCTCAGCCAAAGTGGAGGCCCACGAGCCCGAGATGTCCTTACCGGCTGGTCACTCCCGTGACTCTTGCCTGCACCCGCCGCGGGAAGCCGAAGCCCAGGCAACACCTCCCCACGGTGAGCCTCCCACCCCGGAGCCCATGGACACACAAGAGGCGCCGAGAGCCGAGGAGACCTTTGTCCGATGCTGCAGCCCGCGCCCCGCCAAAGCCAATCGAAAGCGGCGGAGCAGCACCCTGAGCAACAGCGGGGACGCGGGGCTGGTCCCGAGCAAGAAAGCCCGACTGGAAGAAGAGGAAGCGGAGGAGACGCCGTCTGAGGTCCCCGAGCGCCTTCAGCCTCTTCCGACGCAAGCGGAGGGCGCCTTCCCCAATCTGGCTCGTGTGCTGCAGAGGCGCTTCTCCGGCCTCTTGAACTGCAATCCTGCTACGCCCCCGACGGCGCCGCCGGCATGCGAGGCAAAACCCGCCTGTCGCCCAGCGGACAACATGTTGAACGTGCTTGTGCGGGCCGTAGTGGCCTTCTGAGGGACCTGAGCGGCGGAGCGCAAGCCGAGCACTTGGCCCGAGTGCGCACACCGTGGCGAGGCTTTCCCACCGGGAGTGCCCGCTGAAACCGTAAAGAGGAGCCGCCAACCGGGCTGCCGAGAGGCCCTGAGAGGGACTCTGCCCCTGGGGAGCTGTTGCCAGCTGTGCGCGGCGGCGGCGGCGCCGACGAGCCGGGGGCGCGGGCGCCTTCCGCTGTGATCTGCCGCGCCCACAGGTGCTGTTCTTAACGGACTGGGACTTAGACCTTTCTCCCTCTTAGACTGGGAGAAAGAGACGCGTAGTTGTTAACTCAGGGTCGGACGTGCTTTTTATTTTTACTGGAGCTGTAGTAACTGTTGAAGATTTCTCAGTACTGGGGCTTTATGTTTCAACCTCAGAATTCCAGGCACTTCCCTTCCCCCTCCCTGACATACTTGTGCACGCGGTCAGCGTTGCGTCATGGAGCAGACGTGGTGCGCTTCCTGTTGCCTTGCGTGGGTGTGGGGCTCTAAGGAGGAGGGTTTGGGGTGTGGGCCTGCCGAGGGAGTGGGAGGGCGGCTGCCTGAGTCACGTTGCCCCAAAGTTAGTGCCGGGGCTCCTGTGCCTCGGGTGGGGACGGGGCCGATTTCTTTACAGATGAAAATTGTTCTCATCTGAGGCGTTAAAAGTGGGCACTGTGTTCTCAAGACACAATCTACCTAGGGGTACCTGGTCTAAATCATGGAGAGGTGGGGGGAGGGGGACAGCAGTACGTGAACTGGGACCACTTGCTGATAAGACTGGCCCCAGTTTTGGGAGGAGGAGGGATTCTTGGCCAGGATCTTTCCAAGAGTCTGTTTACCTTTGCTGCGGTGAATTCTGTTTAACACCATATACCTGGCGTCTTGTTAGAAACGTCAGATTGAAAAATAAAAATCATTTGAATTAAAAAATCTGCCTTTCTTGCCTGGGGGGGAGGACTGAAGGGGTCTTGGGAGTTGGCGGGTAGGCGACGCTGGGGTCCCGGAAACCGGTCATATCGGTTACCACGTGGGCGATAGGGGGCTGGGTCATTTTGCCCTACTACTTGATCTCTATTCGAGCTTCCGTTGGCCCCCAGATTTAGGGGTTCTCTCACAACTCGGGTGGAAGAAAGTGCTTTTGGAGTTTTGGGGGACATTTAGATGCTGTGCCCCTAACCTGTTAACTGCCGTCGAGTCGGTTCTGACTTTTACAGCGACCCTGTATAGGATTTCCGAGGAGTGGCTGTGAGTTTGAACCTTGTGGTTCAAACCGATTTTGCAGTCCAGCTCATTATCCCACAGCTCCGCAGGGGCCACAACTTTTGTTGGGGGGCTTTGAATGGCAGTTCTATGTTCCCAGTTCGGACCAACTGAATCGACTGGCTGTGGACCTGGAAACGCGCGCTTTCCTTGAGTGGGTCCCTTCACTCGGCGTTCTGTGGTTCAGATAGGGAGGTGACGCTCCCAGCCGGTTTTCTTTATACAACTTCCTGGCTAGGCTGCAAGATTAGTAGAAATGTTCATAGTAGCCCCGCCCCAGGTCAACAACCCCAAGAGAAACCCTTCTCCGGTTTCCCCAGTTCAGGCGTAGCTCCCAGACGGAGGCGGGGATCCGTACAAAGGGACAAAGGGGCCGCAGGTGCTGGGAGTGGGAACGGCGCCTCTGGGAATAACCGCGCCGCCTCTCGACGGCGAGACACAGGGGACCTGACCCCGAGACCGAAGGGCAGAGGAAGGTGGGGATGGGCCAGCCCCGGAACACCCACGGGGGCTGTTGGGCCACCGACTCCTCTCCCGCTGCCCATCCATCCCATTCTCTGCTACCCAACGTTCTTCCGGCCGGGATAGCGACATCGCAGCCCCATGATGGACACGATAGCATGCGCGTCGCCAGGATCTCAAGTCTCCTTAGTTCTTGGTGCAGCGTGGGAGGCTTTAGCGCCGCTCACGGCGTTTCCCGACGCACTACTCCCCATTGGGACCGGTGGGGCGGCTTAGTGGCTCAGTACATCCACGGCGGCGCAACTCCCCCGACGAGGCTGACCCGGCCCCGGGAAGTCCCGGCAGCCAGGGACAGATTCTCACCGCGCATCCTGTCGCAGGAACCGCCAGGCCCTTCCTTCCGCGGGAAGTGGCTCAGCAGACCCCTCACCCCCGCCCAGGCCGCCTGAGGGACTTCCGGTGCCTGGGTGGGGGTTGGGGACGGAGAAGATGGGAGACCGGACGGAAGTAAGCCCACACACACACCCCCATTCCTTCTTTCTCGCTCTCTCTCTCTCTCTCTCTCTCTCTCTCTCTCTCTCTCTCTCTCACACACACACACACACTCATACACACGCAGGCACGCACGCGCACTCGAGCACACGTACATACATACGCATAACATACCTACTCAAGACCCCATTTTCATCCACCAGAATAGGCAAAATGAAGTAATTATGACCACGCTCCGACATAAAGCCTGGAGCGTTCGTTCACGTGATGTATGGGCAGGCAGTCTGGGGATAATAAATTGGACAATCGCTGTGAAACCTGAAAATGTCACTAATTCCAAAGTCAGTGATCTGGGAGCCTCAGGCCGGCGCCTGGGGTTTCCGGAAGGATGTTCACTGCAGTGCCTTGTGAAATAGGACAAACTGTTACACGTTCATCCCATGATGGTCCAGTAGAATGTGGAGTCTCCAGAGGACGAAAAGGCAGAGCCAGACTAATCTCCCTGGGCGGGTCTCAGGAACAGGTTGTTCAGAACTATCCCGCTGAGGGACAGACAAAGACCTGCTGAGGATGTTGTGGGGTTGTTGCTATGTGCCGTGGAGTCGGTTCTGACGCATAGGGACCCTGTACAGGGTTTCGGAGGCTGTAAATCTTTACGGGAGCAGAAAGCCTCATCTTTCTCCAGCGGAACAGCTGGTAGTTACAAACTGCTGACCTTAAGGTTAGCAGCCTGATTCGTAACCACTATGATACCAGAGCTCCATGCTGAGGCTGTTGTGGGGTAAGGAGCATAAATTCTCTGGCTGCTGGTTCCTCTCTCAACTGCTCCACCTGCTTTCTGTATGGCCTTGAGCAAGGTACTACCCCACTGTGCCTGTTTCCCTGCTTGTAAAAGAGGGGCAATAATCGTCCTTCTTAGGTTTGTTGTGAGGATTAAAATGCATGAGAAGTGCTTAGCATGTTGCTCTGTATACAAAGTATTATGTTGGTTGTCACTGTTATATCTGGAAGCGATGGTGTTGAAAAGCTCATGCAGCATTATAAGTATAACGCAAATCTAAATCTAAAACCACTGTCTTCGAGTCAAGTCTGAATCACAGTGACCCTGTAGGACAGAGTAGAACTGCTTCATAGGGTTTTGGAGGCTGTAAATCTTTTCAGTAGACTGCCACATCTGTCTCTCGAAGAGCAGCCGTTGTTGTTGTTAAGTGCTGTTGAGTTGATTCCGACCCATAGCGACCTTGTATGGTGAGCTTGAACCGCCGACCTTGCAGTTCAAATGACTTTGCAGTCTGCCGCATTAGCCCACAGCGCCACACCAGGACTCCAGAAGAGCAGCTGGAGGGTTTGAATTGCCAACCATTGGTTAGCAGTTCAACACTTAACCCACTGTGCTACCAGGAATCCTCACAAGTAAGTCTACATGCATGTAGAAGCCCAGATAGCCCGAAGGATGGTTCTTGTTTTCAGTCGCTCACGGTCAGCCTCAGCCTCCTCTCCCAGGCTCTCAGTTGGTTAAATTATAGTGATTTCTTGTTAAGTGCCGTCAAGTTGGCTGCGATTCATAGCAAACTTGTATAAGGTTTCCAAGGAGCAACTGGTGAGTTTGAACTGTTGACCTTGTGGTTCAAACCAACCTTGTGATTCAGTGCTTTATTCCACAGCGCCACATTGATGGTTCAAAGAGTGATTTTTTTTTTAAACTTCAATACGATATTTTGTTTAAACCAATATATATATAATGTCCTAAAATATTAATGAGTTATTTTCTCTCGCTCTCTCTTTTTTTTTTGCTTTATTGTGAATTATGTGATAGTTTACATGGGAGAACGTTAGCTTTACATTCATCCTATTATATATAGTTTCATTGCCATGGTTACAATCCCCTCCATGCACCATCAGCCAACCAAAGGATATACCCTGTAAGCCTGCCCCTGGTCAACAAACAGCCCCTCTCCCTCTCTGGGTCTAGAGTTCCCAGCAACTCCATCTTCCCACCATCATTGTCTCTGCCTCCATCTCTGGCTTCACTGTTTCTCTGGGTAGGGTCCTGTGCCCCACTTTTCTCCCTTGATGGTCCCAGGGACCTCCGCTCCTGGACTGCAAAGTTAATCATGCCCCTCCTTTTGCTACAAAATGCTCACCTTTACATTTCCAACCCTCACAGTCAGTCCTGACAGTAATTATTCACTCAGATAAGTGCAGCAGCATTTAATGGGGTTGATTCTTCACCTTTTCGAGGACCACACCCTCCCCTGGGTTCCTTCCACCTCACCTGCAATTCCTTCTCAATTTCACTTTGGGTTTCCTTTTTAGGACCAGATGTGTGCTTAACAACAGACAGTTGAGTACCCCTTGGTAACCTCATTCTGTCTTAGGGCTCTGAATGCTGTAGAGACTCCATTCTGATTCCCTAGGAATCCCTGCACCATGCAAATGGTTGATGGGCAGCTGTTCATCAAAAAGGTTAGAGGTTGGAGTCCACCAGAGGTGTCTGATGATCTACTCCTGAAAACTCAGCCATTTAAATCCATATGGAGCACATTTCTACTCTGACACACATAAGTCAGAATTGACTTAAAGGAAACTAGGGGAAAACTGCTGACTCAAATTTAGCTCTCCAGCTTTGACCTCTCACATCTCATGAGCGTCTGAGGTATCCCAAATGCAATAAGATTCTTACTCTTCCCTGCCATCTCACCCCTTTCACTACAGTGAATGGTAATATCAGCTTTCCAATGAAAGAGTCCTCGTCACCTTCCTTTTTTCTCTACTCTTTCCCTC